ATGTCGGCAGCACANCCAGCTGTTTCTTACCTGCATGTACGACAGGCGACACTAGCAACACCAGCACGGCGTTAAATGGGATTCCCGTTGCCCAGCGCGCAGCCAGGGTGCGGCGGCGGCGGCGGCGGCAGTGCACCGGCGGCGGTTGATGGCGATAACGCAGCTCGGAGTCCACGGCCGCGGCGGCGACGGCAGACTGCTGTTCCACCCGCACCGGTACGGCGCCGCCAGCCTCCCCGCCGCCGCCGCCGCCGTCACAGCCTCCATTCTCCGGCGTGAGCACCGGCTTCCGCCGGCATTCCTTGTGTCGTGCCATAATCCGATAACCCTACGTCAATAAAACTTTATCACGCTCGTCGTACGTCCGTACAACGACACAGCTGTTGTGACTCAAAAGTACGACTGAAGGGGGGGGCTTCCCCTCCAGAGGAATATTCCCTCAAGAAATCCAACCAGCCGTCTTTCTGTTCCTTTTTAAGTAAAGTTAAATGTGGCCCTTCACCTAGCAGAGTGCTGTCACGGCTTCTTCCCCTTCCGCTATTAGGAACTCCAACCGCCGCTAATACGAACGGTAACGGTAACTGCAACTGTAACTGTAACAGTTACTGTAACAGTAACTGAAAACGAACAAGGTAGAAGGAGCTGTAGACCTACCTAGTAGCGCTATGCCGTCACATACGGCAAAGGGACTCCCAACCGACAACCAACGAACTCCGGAATGGTCTGGATGGAGCGGATTAGTAGTAGTAGCGGATAGGGTCGGCGTCACGGCGCTGTTACAAACACGTGTGTATACATGTAGGTATATATGTCATAATCTGTGCACCAGCGTGCGTGCGAATGGACCCCAGTATTGGATAAGAGATGGTGCGCGTGTGTTTCTGTCGTGGCGATTGGATGTAGAGCTGAAGTCCGCTGCAGAGAGCGCAGGGACAGAAGAGCTAACCCTAAGCTGCCGAGGAGGAGGAAGAGGACGACACGGCGAGAGATTCTACTACAACTAAGATGCAGATATTTAATCGATCGAACGAACGATTAAGAAATAAGTTTCTAGATTAATCAATTCTAACACAAGGACAAGGATGCTTTAAAAAGCTTGGACGGGTTGGCGACGGGGGCAACGGTGACAACGGAAGTTGATGTTGATGTTGATGTTGATGCTCATGTTGATGTTGATGGCTGGCTGGCTGCACGGATGGATGGATGGATGGGTGGATGGATGGATGGATGTGTACTGATGGGGTTGAGAGGGACATATAGAGCTTCCGGGAGAGGCGAGCGGGGACACGTCCACAGGCTGTCTGCTGCCTGCTGCATGTCATGCCATGATACGTACGACACGTCACAACCAGATTTGAGATGAGACGAGACAGGCGAACGAACGAATTCAACAGGTGTGGACACGGAGCAATCGCCTTTCAGCTTGCTCTTTGTTTGACTGGTCGCATGTGGCAAACTTAACCCAGCAAACTTAAGCTGGCAAACGTTCACTTATAACTAGTAAATAGTTGTTTGGGTTATGGGTTTGCAGCGTTACTGGTGTTCCGTTCGGAACCATTACTTTAACGTCGTTCCGTCAATGTTGTAACCTTGGAATACAATTTGGAGGTTTCCAGAGGTTGACGTATGGGCGGTGCGTTGACGGCCGTTCGGGGTAATGAGCACAGCCGTGGAGGTGGACATGGGCGGTCTGGCAATGAACCCCGGGTCAAACGCAGGACTGTGCCCAATAGCTAAAGTACGCGCAGACCGGAAAGCGATTTGATGACATAAAGCATATGTATTGAAAAAAAGGAATGGAGGTTTAAAAATGAAATCTAATTATGCTATCGTGAATGCTGTAAGCGCACATCCGTTGCCAGGCACTTACGCTTCCAGGCGTGCTCTCCTGCAATTTATAGCTGAACCACGCCATGCCAAGCCAAAAGCTCACATATGCCTTTGGTGGTTAGCTTTTTATAAAGTAAGGCCTAATCAGGGCGTTTGTCGTCTAAACACCCCAAAACATGTCGTACGCACCTGGTTGGTGTCGGCTTGCTTCGTTTGGAGCGTAACAAGGGATTTGTTCGCGCAATCGTCTGAGATCCGCTGACATACAGCTGAAGGCTTTGCCAAAGCATAGTTTGGCTATTTTTCCTCGAGACATCCTGGGCGAATTTGGCATACAATACATAATTGCGAAAACATTTTGCACCATGCGCTAGAAATTTAAGCTCGTGTTTTATTCGGACGCTGGGTTTGGCTTGAGGAGCAAGCCGGCGGCTGGCGTATCAGTCAGTGGGTTGAGACACTGGATGCGAGCGGGACCTACGCCTGTGGAACAAACTGGGCACCATCATTGTGCCTCAATTTTGCTATCGTCTTGCAGGTCAGGGGCTGTTCGGGCTGTCAGCTCTCTAAAATATCTCGGCTCAAACACTTGTCAGCCACCTCACCGGACGATTTATTATATATGCAGATGTAATAACATACTACGGCCTCGACGCCTCGGATCATTGCACTTGGCATCAAGGGACGCAAGGGTGAGTCGGCGGCTGGGCTTTCGATTATCGACTTTAACAAGGACTCTAGCGGCCCGTCCTTCAACGTTAGATAGATTTATAAATAAAATCCACACCAATTTGGCTCAGCCCGGCAGCCATTGTCTGCCTTGCGTCCGCAGGAATCTCTTCGGCGATTCCCAGCGTCATGCGCCGCAACGACAGCTTCCCCGGATTCCCCAGTCGACAGCTCCGAACTTGTGCGGCGGCTCTTGCTGTCGCAATCAGCCACCAGGTGCAATCAAGAGCTTCGGTTCTCGCCTGATCGCCTGCCGTCGCTGCCATGCCCGGAAGCTTCTTCCTCTGCCATCGGCTCGGCGCGCTCATGTCCCCCCTCAGAACACACACCGCCCTTCCCTCGGGACACTCTACCTTGGCGCGAGGGCGTCACAGATCACGGACTCGTCGCCAGCACCAGCTGCACTGTTGTTCTTGAACACGGGGCGCACATACATATAGGAGATCGCTCCAACAGCCGTAGCCCTAGCGGCCTGGCTGCTACTGCTGCTGCTACTGCCAGCAGTAGCAGCAGCAGTAGCTCGGTACACCTGCGGAGCCGCCTGCTCCGACTCCGACGGAACGCTAACCTCTCACTCGGCTACAGCCGCCGCCACCACATCCATCACCCAACGGGAGTCAAGCAAGGACAGAAAACGCTACGACAGGGGAGCCTAGGGAGCCTTTTCCCGGGCGGCGGCAGTAGCACCGTCGACGCCGGCGTCAGTAAAAGCGTCGACGCCGGTGACGGCAGCGGCAGCAACAGCGTCCATGTCGCCAGCGGCGGCGGCGGAAGCGGAAGCGCCGCGGATTTTCCGACCGTACTTACTGCAATCGTGGGGATGGACGGCGGCAATGACGTCGGCCTCCGTCACCGGATAACGGCCCCCTCCGCCCCCTCCGCCGCCTCCGCCACTCCGCTGACGACTGGACGAACACCTCCCTCCCTGGCGGCATTAGAGGACCCATCGGCGGCGGAGGAGGAGGAGGAGGAAAGTACGCTGCCGCTGCGGCGGCATAACGGGGATATCAGCGGCGGCAACGGCAGCCTTACGACAGTACAGCACCAGTTGCCACGTGTCGCTGAGGGGAGCCATCGCGGCGGCGGCGGCGGCGGCGGCTCAGCCGTCACAGCCACAAAATACGACGACGATTCTTTTTGTACTGATTCTGACATGACCGCGGCAGTAGCAGCAGCAGCAGCAGCACCAGCGGTAGCGGTAGCAGTAGCGGCGTCTTCGTTCTTCCCGTCACCGCACCGCTGGGCGCCCCAAACTTTTGAGCTTCGCCTATCGCCGCCACCTGTTCGCCGTACGAATGCGGCAAGCAGCAGGAGCAGCAGCAGCGGCAGCAGGGGGCCCTCGCCAGAGCGCACTGTTGGAATCGGAACGGGTGGTGCAAGTCAACAGGCTGGTTCCGGAATTGGATCCGGAACCAACTCCAGTTCCGGATCCAACGCAGCAAAGCTCACGTGGGAACTGTCCCACGCCGCCGACTGGCGGCGCGTGGCTGCGCTCGTACAGACGTACGGCGAGCAGCTTGATTGCATTCACGTCAGCGCGGCGCTCGTACGATTAGCAAAGATATATCGCAATAACGCAGCGGAACTTACTGTCCCTTATGCAGCTGCGCTGGCGGAGGCGGAGGCGGCGCCGCCGCCGCTAACAGCGCCTGTCGGCAGCGGCGGCGGGGCTATTAGAACAAAAGGCAGTAGTAGTAGTGGCGGCGGAGGCGGAGGCAGAGGAGCTAGATTTGCCAGGGCGTGGAAGAGGGCCCGAGGAACGGGGGAGGCGTTGGCGGCGGAGGGAGCCGAGACGCCGATGTGGTTGGTGACGGCGGAGGAGCGGCGGCTCCGTCGAAGCGTCGCAGAGCGGCATCCAGGGGGCATGCGCCGGTGCACGGTGCTTACTGCGCTACTGCCGCCGCCATCGGCGCTACTGCCGCCGACTACCGGCACGGTGGCGGCGGCGACGGCGCTACTGCCGCCGACGACCGGCACGGTGGCGGCGGCGACGGCGCTACTGCCGCCGACTACCGGCACGGTGGCGGCAGCTGTTGTTGACCGTGACCACGAAGGAGAGCCACTGTCGTCGGTGCCGCCGCCGCTGCCGCCATCTGCAGCGATGGTGATGGCGATGGCAGCGGTGGCGCCATCAGCGGCGGCGGCGGGGGCGGTAGCCGCCGACGGCAGCGGCCAACCGACAGCCCAACCGACATCCCGCCGTGTACTGCACTCAGATGTCGCACGACTGCTCGACTCCCTTTTGGTACGGATTCCGGGCCTTATGCCGCGCGCGTGCTGCCGTACAGTGTCCAACATGCTCTGGGCGCTGGGTGTATTGCAGCCGCTGGCGGCGCCGCGGCCTCAATGGCGGCGCCGCGGCAGCGGCGCCGCCGCTGTTGGCGTGCCGCGCGTCGCTGCGGCGGCGTCCACTTTAGCCGCCAAGATGCGGCACTTTTGGCGGGAAGCCGGTCCGCACTCGTTATCCCTTGCACTTTGGGGGTTGGCGAGGTTGGGGCTGCGACCCAAACCGGTTTGGGTGGCGGAGCTCGAATTCGCTAGCGGCCGACTCTTACCGCGTTTCAGTGCCCGCGAACTGAGCTGTTGCCTCTGGGCGCTGGCGACGCTGCGTGTACGACCCGATGCACTCTGGCTGGCGGCGGCGCAGCGTTCCGTGACGGCGGCACTCGCAGCTCCCGACGCCAACCTTCGATGCGTCGCTACCCTGCTCTGGTCCCTTGCCGTACTACAAGTACGGCTCGAAGGCCCGACAGCAGCGGCCATTACGTCGGCGCTTGCCGTGTTTCTACAGGCTGAGTGCGGCGGGGGCGGCAGCGGCGATGATGCCGTACCCGGACTTCTGCCGTCGATTTGTATGTCGTTATGGGGCTTGGCGCGGTTGGGGTTGCGGCCTCGGAGCGAGTTGCTGGCGGAGTGGCGGCGTGCCGCGTCGGGTCCGCTGCTGGCGGCGGCGCCGGCGCGCGCGGTGTCGTGCATGCTTTGGTCACTGTCGCGGCTTCGTTGCGCCCCGCCAGCGGCGTGGGTGGACGAAGCGGCGGCGGCGCTCCTGGCGCGTGCCCTAGATGGACGGCTAGGCTGCCAGTCCTTGTGTCTGGCAGTGGCGGCACTGGCGCAGCTGGATTCTCGTATATCGCCGGAATGGCTGCGGGCATTTTCGGCGGCGGCGGCGCCGCTTGTACGGCATCTGGATCCGAGTGAGTTGGGCGTGGTGCTGCACGGCATGGGTCGGCTCGCCGTCCGCTGCGGCGGCTGCAACGAAGCTTTAGCGGCGGAGTTCCTGGCCGCCTCCGACGCGGCGGCGGCGGCGGCGCTGTCGACGGCGTCTGCAGATGACGTGGCAGGCATTGGCGGCGGGCTTGCGAATTTGGGCGCGGCGCGGAGTGTACGATTGCACGACGCGTTTGTGAGGCACACGGCAGGGCTGGTTCAACTGCGCGCGCTGGCGCCGCGGCACGCCGCGGCCTGTCTGCAGTACTTCGTGGCGTCGTCGCCGCGGCATGGGTCCGTAGCGAGTGCCCATGCAGCCGCCGCCGCCAGTGCTGGCGGTGGCGGCGGCGGTGCCGCCAGCGCAGGAAGACCAGACGGGCCCCAAACCGGGCCAGACAGCGGACGGGAGCTGTGGTACGACACCGTACGTGCGCGCGTGCCAGATGACACGAAACAACCGCTTCCGCCGCCACAGCCTCCGCCGCCGCCACGTAAGCTCGTCGTTGCATTGCTAATGGCGGTGCTGACGGCGCCGTTGGATCAGTACGACGTGTTTGACGTCGGTCAAGCGTTGTGCGCTGCGGCGGAGCTTGGACTCAAGGCAAGGACGCCGGCGGCGCGATCAGCCGTCACTGCCGCCGCCGCACGAGTTTGCGGCCATGCACCCGGCGCCAACGGGGTACTGCGGCTGCTGCAGGGCATGTACGGTCTCCGTGTACGGCCGCGTACGACATGGCTGACGCGCGTGGCGTCCCAGATTGGCTGTCGGCTCCGTTCTCTGACGGCGGTGGAGGAGTTGGAGCTGCTGCTTCGGCTCCTGGCCGCGCTCCAGTGGCCGTCGCCGGCGGCGGCGGCGGCGGGAGCTGCCCACCTTGCGCAACAGCCGCCGCCGCCGCAGCAGCAGCAGCAGCCGGCGGCGCCTGGGGAGGAGTTAAAAGGGGAGGACGACTCAACCTTATCCTCTTCCTCCGCTCTCCTGGCTCTCCTTCGTGCCGCACAGCCAGCCCTGTCCTCCGCGCCCATCCAGCACCTGCTACAGCTTGCAGCAGCCCTCGTTGCAGCCTCCACCACAAGATCCACCGCCGCCGGGGCGGCGGCGGCGGCGCCAGCGGCGGCAATGGCACCATCGCGCACGTCGCCGCCGCCGCCGGCGGTGGCGCGCCTGGAATTTCCCCACGGCTGGATGCCGGCGTTTGAAGGTGCTACTGCCGGCAAGCTTTCGCAGCCGTGCGTGACGGCGGCCAGTTTGGTGGAGCTCCTAGCGTGCTTTGCGTGCTTTGGCCATGCACCGGGCCCAACATGGACAGCTGCTTGGTACGACAGTACGGCCGATCGATTCCGGAGCCTGCGTCCAGCGCACCTCTGCATGGCGCTGCACCTCCAGCGGCGGCTGGGGCTGCGGCCGCCTCTGCCGTGGCTCCGGAACCACGCGGCAGCGCTGATGGCGGCGGTGGTGCCGTCGGCAACGGAGGCGCCGTTGCCGCCGCTGGAGGTGCTGGCGGCAGTGGCGGAGCTACAGCGCCTTGGCCTTGACGATGCGTCGGCGCCGTTGAGCGGCATGGTTGCGACGGCGGCGACGCAACTGCGCGCGGAATTGGTGGCGGCGGAGCCGGCGGCCCAGTTGGCGACGCTGGCGGCGCTGCAGGCCATCCTTGACCCAGGGGTCGCGGCGCCTGCGCCCCATGCCGAAGGCTGGGCGGTCGGCGTCCTTGCGATGGCTCATAGCGTCATTACTCAGCGGCCGCTGCACCTGTTTCTGGCAGGGCTGCGGCGCACCGCGGTGGCGCCGCCGTCACTGTCGGGGGAACTCGACGACGCCGCCGGCGGCGGCCATGGTGCCGCCGCGTCCCCTAGGAGCTCGGAGGCGATTGTAACGCTTCTCGCGTCAATGGTACGCTGTGGGCATGTGCCCGATCAACGATGGATGTCCGGCATTGTACGACACATCTGTCGACAGGCTGAGTCGATTGCCGCCGCGGATGGGGGGGACGGCGACGGGGCTAGCGGCAGTGGCGGCGGCTGGCCTGCCGCCGACGTCGCGCGTGCCGTGTGCTGCCTGGCGGCGCTGGGCTACGTCCCCGATGCGGCCGTGGCGGAGCGACTGCAACAGCTGCTACAGCCCGTGCTGGCGGAGCGCGACGGGCTATCGCCGGGTCTGGCGGCGGAGCTGTGCTGCGCGTGGGCGTCCGTACGGCGGCGGCCGCCGCCGTCATGGTGGTGCGCGGTTGAGGCCGGCGCGCTTGCGCCGGCAGCGCTGGCGGAGGTCCCCCAACCGGCTTTGGTACGGCTACCGTACAGCATGAAGCAGCTGGGTCACTTGCCGTCGTACGAATGGCTCGCATGCTACCTGCCACATCTCTCCATCGCGCTGGCGGCGGCGGCGCCGCCGCCGCCGCTGGCTCACTCCGCCGCCGCCAGCACCACTCGCGCAGCGGACCTAGCCAACTTGGCCTGGGCGTTAGGATCTGCCGTACACGACGGCGGGTACCCGCCGGACGTTTTGTCGTCGAGCGGTGCGCTTCAGGCCCTTCTCGCGGCGACTTGGCCTTTGTTGGGCGCGATGGGCCCTGGACAGCTGGTCTTGTTGGTGGAGGGCCTGGCCAGGGGCCGCCACCGTCTGCCCCCGGATTGGGTGACTGCTTTTGCGGGACAAGTGACAAGACAGCTTCATGCATGCGGGTGAGTCTGCGGCGGGAAAAAAGATGCCGCGGCGGCCGAAGGGGAGGAAAACGTTTTTTTATCAACTTTCCTCCGAATATGGAAATCATACATATCTTTCAAAAATTTAGGGTCTCATTTTTTTCAAAAAAAGAAAGAAGAAAGACAAAAAACATTCTTAAAGAATATATTTTGTTTTTGTAGTAATTTCAGGCTGTGTGTTGGTTTTGGTTCGGTTTGAAAAGGTTCCATTTCATTTAAATTTTTTATTGCGCTGTTGCTTGCACCCACCTTCATCAGCCTTTTACTCTCGCCGAGCCCGCAATCATTCCAGCATGGGAAAGGTCAGATAGTATCACAGTTGCTGCTGTCTGAGCTGCCTGGGCGTTTCCTTACTGAGTGTTTACCCTCCATCCATCCCATCCCGAATCCTTTTCCTTCGATTTCTCTTCGATCTGGATCCGGAATCTAACTTGGACCGAATTTTTAATTCCGCAGACCTTCGGATCTCATCAGCTACCTGTATTGCCTGGCCTTCCTGGACGCCCGTCCTCCGGCGACGTGGCTGTCGTCGGCGCTACAGCGCACTGCGCAGCTACTGCCGCCGCTACTTCGCTCCCAGGAGGCTTATCGCGTCGATGACCTGGCATGGGCTGTAGTGAAGTTGGACCCTCGGGGGGCCGTCGCGGTGCCGTTCCTAGAGCTGCTACAGCGGCAACGCGCCGCCGCGGTGGCGGCGGCTGCAGAGTCGTCGGCGTGGCGCCGTCGCGCCGTCGCCTGCAGCGGTGCTGCTGATGGCGCCAGCGACGCCGCCGATGTGGAAACGCACCGTAGCGGCGGCGGTGGCGGCGGCGCCGCCGCCGCGACGTTACGTCGTACATATGTACGGCGGCGGCGGCGGGGGCGACTGAGCAAGTCCCTTGACAACGGCACCCACGGTGACATCGCAGCCGCGGCGGCGGCGGCGGCGGCGGATATCCCTGCTGACGGCGGCGCCACACCGGCTGGTTCCTTATCGCCAGCGGAAGCGGAGGCAGTCAATGATTCCGGGCCAGCGGCAGCTGTACGACGCGTCCAGGTCCGCGGCCGAAGCCAAGTACGGAGTTGCACGACGGGACTGGGTGGTGCGGGCAGTCGCTCCAGCGGCGGCGGCGGCCTCGCCTCCTGAACCGCTCCGTCAGTCTCTCCAGGCGCCCTTAACTTCCCGCTGACGGCAGTTGGCGACAGCAGTTGAGAGCGGTTAAGTGGTAGTTGGTAGTTGAATATCATGGAGGGATGGCCAGGTGGGGTCTGCGCTATGTGCGACCTCTTCCACAGAGAGCGGCGCCGCTTCGTTCCGCTATGGGTGTGGGGGATGGGTGTGTCTGTGGATGTGTCTATGGATGTGGGGGATGGGTGGGTCCCCTCTAGGGAGGGGAGGGGAGGGGAGGGGGAGAGCGGTATGGTGTTAAGGGGGGGCGTTTTATTACTGTGGGGTTATCTTCCTTCCACTGGGGAATATTTCCCCGACGGACGACCTGACGGACGGACAGACAGACAGACAGACAGAACTACCTAGTTAGGCAAGCAGACCAGGCCGACGCTTAGGCAGATATGAACAGACAGACAGACACACAGATAGACACACAGACAGGCAGACAGACAATAATATAGAAACAGGTCTGGACACACATGCTCACAGGCAGACAGACAGACGCATACAGCCGTATCTATATATATTTGTGTGTGTGCTATAAATAGAGAGAACGAATCGAGCAGCTTGTAAACTTGAAAACATAGCTGCTGCATCTGCCGCCGCGGCCGCTGCTTGTGGCATTGCTGCTTGTGTTACGAAATTCAGAGCATTGTGGCAGATCGACATGGACAGGGAGGTTGGTAGATAGGTAGGAAGACAGGGAGGTAGGTAGAGAGACCAGGAAGGGGTGCGGAGGAGGAGGAGGAGCTGGAGAACTGGGGGTGCGGTGGCTGGATGGCAGAGAGTTGCTGCATACGGTAGAGGACGCAGAAACACGGCTCCGGCTCCCTCTCCTCGGACTACAATCAGTCGGCGTCGGAAAAAAAGCTCGCGTGTATATTTTGATGTAATGTGATGCTGCTCGGGGTCGATGTGGGGTCGGTAGGTGGACGCACTTCCCCCCTCCTCACCCCCACCCCCAGCGTGCAAATGTCGCACCAGGCACGTTCGATATGTACGTGTGTGTTTTGTACTTCACAATGCGGCAGATCTACATGTCCAGCGGGAAGGTAGGTAGGTAGGTAGGGAAAGGGGGGGATAAACGCCCCCGCCCCCCCGGGTGGTTCTCATCGCCATACGGGGATAGGAGGGGGAGTGGTGGTTCAAGCGGCGCCATCATCAAGGCCCTCTGCACGGATACCCGTACAGGGGATGCTGTACGGTCAGCAGTAGCAATGACTGCTACTGCATCAGCTTGAATGTCTTTTAAGTGCGTGTGTATGTATGTATGTATGCGTGTGCGTGTCTTTTGCACGTAAATGTGTGTGTGTTTGTGTTTTTTTTGCTGATGTGCGTGTGTATGTGTATGTGTAAGATTACGACGTCGTTCGGAGAGACTAGGAAAGTGGGGAGAGGGGAGAGCGCGTGGGGGTGGGAGAGGGGAAGTTGGGGGTGGGAGGCAGGAGAGCCTGCAGTACATTGTGTTTTTCGCGTCCTATGTGTCGTGATGAACTGGGCGAGCGTGACTGTGTAGTCTGCAAGTCGAGGAGTGCCTGAATGTGTATGTCTGTGGGTGTATGTATATGCGAGTACGGGCTTATATTGCATTTGGGGGGGGGGCCGGGAAGATGCTGAGCTGTGTCAATGTGATGGAATGATCGTACGTTGTACGACATGCGTTGTCCGGAAGGAGGGAGGGGGCCCACGGGGAATGGGGGGCGCTCCGTTGCTGCCAACCAACCAACATCTTATTGTCAAGAAAAAGAAAGGTTGCGGTCTTTTTCTTTCGTACTTCTCTTTCGTACTTTTCTTTCGTACCAAACTGTGTTTTTCTTTTTGTGTGCATGTACATGTGTATGTGTGTGAGGGAGAGATGGGAAGGGGGGTGTATATGTGTCTTCAATTTTCCATATCCTCTTTCTCAAGCTGCAACGGTGCAATCGGAATTTAAGATCCTTCCATGAAACTGTAATTCGTCCCCTGTTCGAATCTTGATTCGCGCACTTGCGTTTTTTTCCTCTACTCCCCGCACGCTCCGCTTTTAGTAGAGGGCATCACGTTAGAAGTTGGGTGGATGGGTGCAGCGGTGGCAAAGGGCAATGGCCAAAGGGGGGCTCAGGACGGAGGGCAGGGGGGGCCATCCAAAGGAAGGCTATGGCGACCGGAGCTTCAGGTCGGGTCCAGAAGCTTCTTCTGGGTGTTCGGGCTGCAACGAAAGCCTGTCGCCTCGTCTTCCTCCTCCAAAGGAACACACAAAAAAACACGCTCGCCACGGACATCATTCGCGTTAGTAGACGCACTAAGACTTTCAGTTGGGGCTTCAGAGGATGTATTAGTAGTAGAAGTAGCGAAGGAACTGGCCTGGGGTTGGCTTGCATTGTCAGCATAAGGTTGACCCACAGCCCTTTTTCTGTACATCTGGAGATGAGATTGGGAATTATGTTATGGGGAATTTGTAAGTAAGTCTAGCGCATAGTTTTTTGGTTAGTTGGTGGTGTTCGTTGTCGCTATTAAACAAAATGCCGTTGTCGTTGTGCTTCCTTGCAAAATAGAAAGTCCCGCAGAGGGGGTCAAACGTGTGTGTGTTTGCTGACGAGGCTGTTGGTCTACCACCCCGGCAGACGTGACTGGTGCTATCTTCCGGAAGTCATCCGACATCTTTTGTGGCAGAATGTTTAGTGGCAATATCCACGTATATATGTACGTATATATGTACATATGTATGTATGTGTATATCTGTATGTATATGTGTATGTATCCTCTTCTGCGCTCTGTCCATAGTTGCGTGTTAGATTTTGCTCTCGCATGCTGGACGGAACACACACACGGCCGCGTGGCCGCGCAGGCAGTTGCCTGCTGCAACGGCCTAACTGCTCCAACCGCCTGAATCGAACCTCCAGGTCATGCAGGAGCAGAAGCGCATTGCAAGTTTTGCAGAATTTTGAGGAAGTGAAGATGTAAATGGGATTTGGGTCGCAAAGATGAAAATGATTCGGTTCGGTCGGACTTCGAGGGCATGACTGGAGGGGACGTGGTCCTGCTGGGAGGTATCGGCCATGGATGCGAATGTCCTCATGATTAACAACATATACACAATATATATGATCGTTTATGAATCGGTGTTTTCTGTTGACAATTAGGGAATCCCGTTGACTTGGCCTGTGCGCCCGTCTCATGTCAGGGTCGCGGGTGCGGAAGGTTGTCGTGACCTGTCGTGATTTCGCACGGTTACACTAAGCTTTTAAACACTGGCAGATAAGCTGAAATAATTTACTGAAGTTTGCTGTAGACTTTTATGGATGGAAGCACAGCTGTCAGCCTCATTGAGTCAGAGACATGTTCTTTAAAGCTACTCACAGCAACCAAATTCCAAGGCAGCTCTATAAGCGTACCTAATTTTCTTAGCGCGTGCACCATCCCGAAATCTCAAACCTCGAGCTGGCGTCGGTACTCCTGGGTCAGGATATTCAGATGCTGTCTTTTGACCCGATTAATCTTCCATGGGAAACAATATAAATAGTATGCACTTGTTTAAGCAAATCATTTGAATCATCCAGCTTTCGACATTTACGCGACAGGTAAGGTATCCGTCTCCTGTGCTGGGGCCTGGGGGAGCTGGAACTAATGCGAGCGCATCGCTAGCTCTGAGCATTCCATCTTACAAATAATATAAAAGACATATGCTCATTTCTGGACTTGTATCCGTGCGTCTTCTTCTAGCTTTCGCTGGCATCATCTTGCTAGGGGCAGCTGCACACACTTCTCCTGTTACGGCTTGGAACATAGTAAGACAGCGGGGTGCAGCGCGATCACAGATATTTGGCCATGGACACGTTGCAATTCCAAACGCACTTCCCACGTGTGGCAGAACCACCTAACAACCTCCCCCAAAAATTCCACCTTCCCCCGCGCTTTCCCAGGCGCACTAATAACCTGACCATCCCATCCTCTCCCCAGATTTGACCTGTTCTGTGCACCTGCAACATCCATATCGCGCGCGGCGACCTTCACATCACCGCTTAGGGCCGCGGGTGCCCTAGCACAACTCACCCGCGGTCAGTCTTCCTCATAGGTACTTGGACAGAGAGCTGAGGCTTAGGGCATCATATCAGATGCGGAATGCAACATCCTATCCAATCCAGTCTAACACACCACTAGAAGGGGAAAAGAAGCTGGCAGGGACGCTATGATGGACGGCCCTTCTCATGCCCCTCCTATGCCCTTACATATTTTCCGCAATTCCGCAAATCGCCGCCTTACCTCCTCCAACCCAGCCGCCGACACCTTCTCATGTTTTTTTATATGTTTTTTGTTTACTTACCTTCCTCGCAGTCTCCCTCTCTGGATCGCAGCAGCATGGCGCCACCCAAATTGCCTTCGTCGCCGCCTTTGGGGGGAGAACTCGCAGCCCACGCGCCCGGCCACCCGCAACAGCCTCCGACTGCCCAGGGCGGGACGGCCACCTACAACCGCACCAGCGGCGGCGGCGGCGGCCACCTGCAGCCGCCGCCGCCGCCGCTGCCGCCCTCCACGCCGCCAGTCGCACTGGCGGCGGCGTCCTCCCCTGTAGCTCACAGCGCTCTTCACACCGCCGCGCCAGGCAGCCCTCAAAGCCTGACCAAACAGTCCGACGTCAGCAGCAGCGGCGGCGGCGGCGGCGCCGGGGGAACTGACTCAGGTCCCAGCGGCCACGGCAGCGGCGCGCCATACCACACGCAGCATAAGTACGGCAAACGATCCTCGGACTCTGGCGGCGTTGCCGGCGGCGGCGGTGTGGGCCTGGGTTTTCTGGTGTCGCTGCCGCCGCCGAAGGGAGCTTCTGTATCTGGCGCCCCGGCGGTGGCGGCGGCGTCCTCCACCTTCCATCACCACCTTCCATCACATCAACAGTCCGCTGCTCAGCAGCAGCAGCAGGGCACAACGGGGTCGCAGGGATCTGCAGGTCGCCGGCTACAGCAGCTAGGACAGCGCCTTAACTTCGGCCTGGCACTGGGCCGCAAAAAACACGCAACGTTCGCACCCGGACTGTCCGGCGGCGGCGGCGGCGGCGGGCAGCAGCTGTCGTATCCCGAGGACGCCAGCGGCGCTGGCGGCAATGGCGGCGGCGGCGGCGGGTATGCGGTGGCAGGGGGCCCGGCGGCGACGGCAGGAGGGTCTGCAGGACACGGTGGCGCCGTGGTGTACGGCGGTGGCGGCGGCGGTACGCGGGCAGCGGCCGAGGAGGAGTTCAATCCACCCAACCAGCCGGTCAATCCGTTCTCCTACCTGGCAACGCCATTTAGGGTCATGGCGAGAACGAAGGCCGGCGCCGCAATGGGCAGGTGAGTGAGTGTATACGTGTGTGTATGCGTGTGTGTATGCGTTAGTGTATGCGTTAGTGTATGCGTGAGTGTATGCGTGAGTGTATGCGTGAGTGTATGCGTGTGTGTGTGTCTCTTTCCCTTCCCCAGCGCCCTCCCTTTCCGTTCTCATCCGTTCTCATCCCTCACCCCAACAAATCAAGCTCATGTTCATACCCTCCCTCCTCCCCCACCACCACCACCACCACCACCACACACACAATCACCTCTCTCCCCCCCCCCCGAAAGGTACGCCACCACGGCGCTGCGGCTCAAGCGCGACGGCATGCCCCCTGCGTCGTACATGTGGCTGTGGCTGGGTAACTTCAAACGCTGGCACCGCCGATATTTCGTGGCTTCGGAGGCGCCTGGAAAGCTGCTCATCTACAAGCGCGCCAACATGAAAGGAAAGGTATGTGTGTCTGTCCGTCTGTCTGTCTATCTGTCTGCCCGTGTCACGCACACGCCACAAAAGCAAAGAATACACGTCACGCCACGTTACGCCACGTCACACACTTCGCGTGCACTTGGAGTCATTTCTCCCTCAGGGTTTTGTTACGTTACTTCTTTCTCCCCCCCCCCCCGCTTTTGACACAAAATACCGTCCTCACCTCTCCCTTCCCCCCGTCTCTGGTACACTCTTTTGCCCTGGCAGCAGCTTCACTCGTTCACGTGGTTCGTCTTTCCCCCCGTCTCCTTGCAGATCACTTTCCCCCAACCCAACCCAAACACCTTCGACATGCACTCGTGTTCATTTACACTTTCCTTTTCCCACCCCCGCACCCCAAAAAAAATTCCCGACTTTGCAATTTTGGTCGTCAGCACGCTGTTCCTGGTTTCCCTTCTTGACTTTGCTGCCCACACCACGCCACCCTCCTCTCCTTCCTCCCCTCCCCGTGTATATATTTCCTGGCCCGCCCGGAATCGGCCTGCATATACGGTTTGGCCGTTTGTACGGCGTGTCAGGTTTGGAGTACGAGTCTGCGCGACGCCGCTGTCGTACAGGACGACTCGCACCCTCGTCAGATTCGCTTGGAGGCCCCCTCCGGCGCTATCTTCTTGCGCGTGCTGCGCCCCGAGGAGCGGCAGCCTTGGATTGCGTGTCTGCGGGAGTCCCAGGAGCAGTACCGCAAGCACAAGGAGGTGGTGGACACGCTGGCGGCGGCGGCGGGGGGCGAGGGGGGCGAGGGGGGCGGCGCGGGTACGTGGATGGAGGGGAGGGGAGGGGAGGGCGACGGGGGGGGGAAAGACGAACCACACGCGATTGAAGCTGCTGCCAGGGCAAGATAGTAGCAAACGTAAAAACTGACCGAAAGGCGTCCGTGGCGACTGTGACGATTGTAACCTCGGGATGACGAAGTGACGTAGATGTTGGAACTCCTACCTACCTAAGCCGCCAGTAATAAAAAGCTGAATAGTATAGCCAATCCGTAAAGTAGTAAGTGTAAAAAATAGTAGCGACGGGGGGGGCGCCCTCGCCCCGGGAGGAGGAAGGGAGGGAGGGCGGGGGCGGGGAAATGACGAACCATGAGGGGAGGGAGGTGGGGGGAAGGTGGTGGGGAGGTGGCCCGGGAGAGGAGGGTCTCAGGCGGTGTTGCTTGTGCGAGTGTATGTAGCAGGAGGTGGGGGATGGGTGGGGTACCCCCGGTTAGCTAGAGAGGGGTTAGCTAGAGAGGGGTTAGCTAGAGAGGGGTTAGCTAGAGAGGGGTTAGCTAGAGAGGGGTTAGCTTCCGATGGTGACAGTTGATCTTCTTGTTCTGTTTCCTGCATCAAGCACCATCCTGCATTCCTCCACACCCTACCTTACCCTACCCTACCTATCCATCATCCCCCTTACCACCTATTACCACCACCGCCCTCTCCCGGTATCATCTCCCCCGGCCCCCCCCCCCGAGACGGCGCTCGATGAATGTGGGGCCATGTGTTGCTTTCCCTTCTTGGCTTTGCTGCCCCGCCACCCCCATGACCACCACGATACACTTCCCCTCGCCTTACCCTCCTGCCGGGGGTCCCCCACCGGCCGCTGTGTACGGGTTTCGTACCTCCCCCCAGCATCTCAGTCAGTTCTACGTTTGATACTCTCTTGCCCTGGCAGCAGCTTCAATCGTGTGTGGTTCGTCTTTCCCCCAGCATCTCCACCCACCCCCCATCTCCCCCCTTCACACACAATCTTCCCCCCCATACACAGACACACAATCTCTCCCCCCCATACACAGACACACAATCTCAACACCCAATCTCCCCAACGTCTCCCCCCCCTCCCCCGGTCAGTGGCTGGCGCACTTCCCTCCGTGGCATCAGGTGCAGTGGAGCAGGACGCGGAGCAACGCCGTCGCATCAGAGCTCGTCTGAACGACCGACTGGCCGAGCTGGCCCCCCTGGTTTCGGAGGTGGAGCGACACCTGGTGCTGGTGGGGCACCACTTGGCTGGAGCGGCGGCGGGTAAGAGAATGGGGGTGGGGGGGTGAGTGGGAACTTTGGAAGGGGGAAAAGGGGGAAGAAATGTCCACCACTTTGCTAGCTAGGAGTTCGCTTACCATTATTCTCACGCACCTCCCGACAATGTCGGGGGTCTCCCCAGGAATCGAACCCAGGATTTTAAATTGTATAAGACAGTAGTGTCGACCAGACCAGACCATCATGCTTTTGTTTCTGTTTCTGTTCCCGCTGTCGCCCACGCCGCCAGGCATCGCTCACCTGACGGCGCCGCTGACACAGTTCAACTCCGTCACGCAGCTCAGCGGTCGCGGTTTGCGCAGCCCAGGGCCGACGGCGGCGTCGGCGTCGGCGGTGGCGGCGGCGGGGCCGGAGTTCTACGGGGCCGGACATTTTCCTCCGGCAGTCATCACCACTACCACCACCGCCACTGCCGCCGTCACGAGCACCGCACCGCCGCCGCCGCCGCCGCCTCACCGCGCTGCCTCGCCCTTGGTAGCAGGGGGTGGCGGCGGCGGTGGTGGTGACGGTGCCGCTGCTGCTGCTGCTGCTGCCTGCCACAGTGCCCCAGCGGCGGCGGCCGCCATGGGCAGGCCGTCCGCCGGCGGCGGCGGCGCCGGCCGACGCCCTGAGACGGCGGCAGCGGCGGCGGCGGCGGCGGCGGCTGGGGGACTGCTGCTGCCGCTTACCGTTTCAGAAGCCGATGCGATGGCGGGGTTGCCTGACCGCGGCGGTGCGCTGTCCCGCAGTCGGAGTCGGAACCGGGGCGCGACGGCGCCCCCGGCTGCCCATTGTGAGTGTGCCATTGCCACATACATACAGACGCACGCACATACAAATAGAACGCACCGTGAACGTGCACGTGCACAAGTGCCCTCCTCCCTGCCTTGTTTGGCAGGGTCTGTTTGCCTCGCGGCGCGTTTTTTCGTCATGTATGTGTTTATATATGTATGCTTTTTCTGACTCCTTTTTCGTGAACGCAGCCCCGAGCCTTGCGGGTGCCATAGCTGCGTTGGTTGACGCCTTCCGTGCCACCCTACACAACGACGCGGTGCGGATTGCTACCTTGGAGGCCGAGAACGCGGCGCTGAATAAGTAAGTAAGAAGAGGTGGCCTTGAACCGCAGCTGCCAGGGTTCGAACTGGAGACCGCATGGCATCTAGTCTATCTCTTGCCCGCTTCCTCGGGACTTTCTTGCGCCGAGAAAAGAGGAACCTCCGATGAACCCATTCCGGTCTCACGTTCTCACCTCAATCACATCTCCTGACCTGACGGCGACTTGACCTGCCTGACTTGACGGTGACTGACTTCCCGGTGGCACTTAGGACTTTGAACATATTACGTGCGAACACGCATCGCAATGCCACGCGGACTCGCGGCGTGAGCACACCCGGCTTCAACCCCAACGGCCCCGGCGGCGGCGGCGCCGCCGCCCCCGGTGGCGGCGCCGCCGCCGCGGCCGGGTCGCAGGGACCCGCCCGCAGCTCGGGGTCCGTGCCGGCGGTGCCGATGGCTGGCGTCACGTCGGCGTCAGGAACGTCGGCAGCGTCGGGGGGCCCTGGCGGGGCCGGCGCTGGCGCTGGCGGCGCCATGACCGCTGCGGCCGTTATGAACGACGTCGACGCGGCCAGCGAGGGAGGTAGCGCGTGCACTGCCGACGAGGACGCCTTCGATGTGGTGGAGGCGTTTGATGATGGTGGGTGGGTGGGTAGGTGGGTGTTTGGTGTCGGTGGGTAATGGGCGGATGGGAGGATGGGCGGATAATATTAGATAACTTGTCGTTGTTGTTGTTGTTGTTACAGGGTGGTTAAGCTTCACCAGCGGCCCCCTTTCCCTTGGAGGCAGTTCCCTGCTCTCCCCTGCGAGAGGGGCACCCTAATCCGTTCACCCCATCTGACTTCAGAATGTATTCGTTGGGTTCAGCAACTCACCACCACCAGCATCCAACCAAATCTAGCGGATCAACGGCGCCTCAACTTAGTTCCTGGTCAGCTCTGTGTGTATTTGTAGTTTCGCCGATGGCGGAATTCACACCAATCATACGCGAAATTCCTTTTCTTTCTTTTCTCCCCTTGCCCATCACCGTCCTTTACCCCACACCCCACACCGCACACACCTCACACCACACACCACACACCACACCACACCACACCACACACCACACACCTCACTCCTCGCACCTCCAGGGGTGGACTACTCCATCCTGGATGACGACGCACCGCACCTGCACCACCGCCTGGGAGTGGACGATTACGAGCCGCCGTACGTGCAGCACGGCAATTACCCGGGGGCTGCGGACGAGGAGGTGCGCATGTGTCCGTGTGCCGTCGTAGGTTTCCTGTCTCAATTCTTTTCGTGACTTTTACCTTTTACCTTTTACCTTTTACTTTTGACCTATCGGGGAGGGTCTGCCCCGGGGAAGGTGTTCGAGGAGGGTCCACACCCGGGGACGCCGGCAGCTCAGTTCTGATTTTCTTGTCTTGCACATGATTTATGATTTATTTACCCCCAAAACACACACATGCATAGAGACCCGCTCGCGCGCGCGCAGGGGAAAAGAACTTACCTTACCTAGCATAACTGAAATTTAATTGCTGTTACATGGCCCTTGTGTAACAACAAGGTATACCCACAGTACCAACCGTAACAACAGTACCGACACGCACATAGAGAAGCCTTCATTTACGTCTTCTCTGTGTGTGTGTGTGTTGGTGCTGATGGTGCTGTTGGGCCCCCGGGCGTCTGTGGCGCTTGTCGGCTTGCCTAATATAATATAATATCCTTGTCCGTCTGTCTGTCTGTCTGTCTGTCTGTCCGCGCGGCAGCTGTTGCTGTTTCGCTGGCTTGTTTCATTCCTTGGGCTTGCAAAGTGATTCGGAGCGCGTAACGCATGGCCGCCTGTGATGGCGGTACTGTCTGACCACCCCCGGCGCCCTGACTGGATTGCCTAACTGAACCACCTAATTGCCTAACTACCTAACTGCCTAACGGAACTATCTAATTGCCTAACGGAACTACCTAATTGCCTAACTGAACTATTTAGCTGCTTAACTGAACTACCTAACTGCCTAGCTGAACTACCTAACTGCCTAACTGAACTACCTAACTGCCTAACTGAACTACCTAACTGGATTACGAAACCCCGTACTGGCTGTAGGAGAGTGACGAGGATGCTGAGGAGGACGCCGCGGAGCTCGCTCAGCAGGCCGAGGTGCTCAACGCGCTGGAGGTGGTCCGGCAGGTGGGTGGGTGCCGGGGGATGGGTGGGTGGGTGTATGCGTGTATGTATGTGCACGTGTTGGGGGGAGGAGGAGGAGGAGGAAGAAGGGGGGAGAAAGCGGGTTTGGGTTCCCCCGGGGGAGCGTTCTTCGGCTTGCGCTTGCGTTAAATGCGTTTCTCAAGTTCTCGCTTCATGTCTTTTTCTTGGGGCCCCCATCGGCTCTCCCGGCCCCTTCGACACGTCATGCGGTACACGAGCAGTTGAAACTCTTTTGGGACTTCTGCAGTTTGGGACGTTTTTGGCGGCATTTTTTTGGCGGCATTTTTTTGTACATCGTCATCGTCATCATCATCTGCTGCTGCCTGTCTTTGTGCCCAATTCGCCTCTCTGTCTCCCTCTCCCCTTCCTCCTCCTTCCTCCTCCTTCCCCGCCTCGCCCCCCCCCACCACCATCGCCACCGCCATCACCACTACACAGGTGGAGTACATCACCGCCGCCAACGACAACAACGCACAACTCAAGACGCTGCTCACCGCGGACTCACCGCCGCCACCGGATGCCGAGGAGGAGGAGGAGGAGGAGGAGGGCGGCAAGGCCAAACACAAGTCCTGTGGAAAGGGCGAGGTGCGAGTGGGGCCGGGGGAAAAGACGAGACGTCAAGGGGAGGGGAGGGGAGGGGAGGGGAAGCAAGGGGAGGAGAAGCAAGGGGAGGGGAGGGGAGATCGGACCCGGATGGCAGCCGAGGAAAAAGTCCTCCGCTTCCACTTTTACTTTAGCAGCTGCCGCGCCATCCCGCTTGCACTGCACCCGCTTGTACATTCGATTCCACTGCCACCACCATAAAAACCATAATCAAACTGTTCCAAACCATCACAACTGTTTCTCCACTTTTCCTGTTACAATGCTTGGTACTTGGTACTTGGTACTATACTAGAAACGATTACTAGACTAGAATAGTACTAGAAATAGTGCTACATAGTATGCAGGGCTCTAAACTAGCACTAGTTTACGACGCTCGTACCGCGTTCGTACATAGTAAAATAATATAGTAAAAATAGTACTAGATAGCACTAGATTTGGGTTTGGATAAGTGTCAAGTATTAGTTGGACCAAGCCGAGATCTGCAGTCAAGCTGTATTTTGAAGGGCTACAGCCGCGTCTTCGAGCTGTGCTACGTAGGGTTGGCAAGAACACTATATATGAAAACCCAAATAGCATAGTATAGTAAGAAATAGTACTATATATAATAATGTAGTACTATGATACTATTACTAGGCAGGTGCACGCTCCCAGTAGAAGGGGGGTGTACGGCCAACCGTTGTACCTGAAAATTACACCGTTGGAAAGGTCTCCTTTTGTTCTTTCTAAATATCTACTTGGACATTAGAAAGCAGATCGCTGCGGTCATCCAGATCACTTTTTGTTAGTTCAGTGCCCGGTGGGTGGACCCCAAACCCCATGTCTCAAGGCGTGTTATGGCACATAAAGACATAATCACAGATAGAAGACCCAATGTTCACAAGACAACACACGGACGTCATACTAGTGAAGTTCCTGCACTACAACCTCCCGTACGGCCCAGTACGTAACCCTCCAATTCGCCGCAGCGGAGCTGGTTCCACTCTGTTGCTGTTGCTGGCTCACTGACGCTGCACGCTGTTTGATAGCCTTGCAAGCACCTTGCTTGATGTGGTGCGCGGCGTGGTGAAGGATGGGTTCGCGGCGCTGAGCGGCTCATCGCAGAACAAGCAGACTAGCTTTGGTAGACCACCCCACCACTCCCACATCGAAGTTGTCCCAAAGACTACCCGTCTTAGCGTTCTTCTTCTTCTGGTTACGTAGCTTGTTGAACAGCTCATTCCGAGAGCGGAGAACGTCAAGGGGGACGGCTGGGCCAGGCTGCAAGCCTCTGATCGCCTGTCATGTGCGAAGAAGTCT